AAAATAAATGATACTGGAAAAAAAGGATTGAGCACACTGATAGCCATTTAAAGATACTTAAAAGAATAATCAACCATTGCAATGTGTGGTCCTTATCAATGGGAAAAAAAAAGATAGTTTTGAGAGAATTAGGGCAAACTAAACATAGAAAAGGTATTAGATGACATTAAAGAATCACCATTACTATTACCAAATTATTATGTGGGATGTGATAATATTTGTGTGTGTGTGTGTTTTAGGAAAAATCTTTTTATATAGAGCATCTCCCTTCCATAAAAAAAGAACAAGAAAGTGTTGGGCTGAGTATAGATGGAATAAAACAGCAGACTGGTTGTAATTGTAGCTGTGTGAACTGTACATGGTAGCTCATTATATTATTTTTTGTATGAAATTTTTCTAATGAACAATTTAAAATAATTTTCTTTACAAAATGCTTTAAAACCAAGAGTCTCATGTTTGTTTGTTTGGTTTTAATTTTAAATTAATAGCTAATTCCCATACTTTATAAAATATTTAAAACTATAGCAAATATTGGGACATCTTATCCCAATTAATTTGAATTTCAAATTCAAGCTGAGAAGCCCTGAGCTGTTCCAAATGTACATCATGATATATAATTCACAAAAGGAACGTTTAAGAGACATTGGTGGTTTAAAATAAGATAAATAGCTCAAAGGACCAGAAGAGGAACATAACATAGAGTAACATGAGAGGGACTGAGGCTGTAGGCCTTTTGGAGTTTGGGTTGTTTATACCAGGGGCGCAAAGAAAAATATTTACCAGGCTGTCACCATTATAAGACAATAAGCTGCTTGAAGATGGGGGCCATATGTTTTCATCTTAATATGCCTTGAAAACTGCCTGGAACATATTAGGCAATACTTGAGTAAATAATGAGTAAGCAAAAGGCTCAAGGAAAAGGATGGCAAAGATTGAAAAGATGCTTGATTAAAAGAAAAATGCAAGCTTGAATCTGCACAAGCACCAATGAACATGTGCTATTCTTCAGTTAATAGATCAGTGAAAAAGATCCTCTCCGTGGAGCTCAAGAGTCCCTGTGTTTTTCTTTTCTTAGGAAGAAAATATTTCTTCCTTAGGAAAAAAGATATATATATATATTTTCTCTTAGGAAGAAGATGGATAGATAGAATGTGGCCATGATTTCCTGCTTGAAGCGAAGTACTGCCAGGCAATGCATCCCTTTCAAAAAGAAAGACTGCATATCTGCAATGGGGAAGGAGAATGTACAACGCCCACAGATCTCTGCTTAAAGACTCTTTGTTCAGAAATCCTGCTTGCTCACTGTTGTGACACACATACATACATGTGTATGTGCAAATAAATGAGAAAGAAACTCACTCTTTTACATCACAAATAAGGTAAAAATGGATATCATTAAATGGCACATGGATATACAATTTTTGTCCCAGTAAAGGTATAAAAGAAGTTAAAGTTACCTCCTCTTATCCTGGAATTGTCCTGTAGTTTTTCTTATAGGGGCTTGTCTGGGTGTTGCTGGCCATCTCCTATACTTTCCCCCTTCACTGCACCAGCTACATCTTTTCCAGGACCAGGACTGTTTGGGATATCAGATAGGGCTTGGAGGGAAGGCCATAATCATTATAGAAAATATCCAGATAGGGCTTGTATTATGTGTGACACAGAATAAAGAGAGTGAAATTCTTTCTATCTAGTGTTCGATAATAAGAGTCGATTTATGGTTTAGCCAGAGAGAAGAAGTAGACTAATAATGGTAGGTCCCAGCAAACCACCTCAAAATGAAATGGGAGACTGCTTATATGTTATAAATCTGGGTAAAATTCAGCCTTCACCCATTACATAAGTGGTCAGTTGCTGAATAATATTCAAGAAAAGTCATTATTTCCTAAAAGGAACCCTTCCAACTTATATTGAGAGAAGAATTATGGCTTTTTGCATTTGTTGCTAATTTTAATTAATGAAAAATAAAATGCTAATATTTACACTTAAGGCATTTTATATTAATTAAGTGTGAAAATCCTTGGATTGAAAGGTAAATTCTAGTGCCAAATATGACTGGCCAACTGTGTGATCTTGGGAAAGCCATTTCTCATCTTGAGCCCAAGTTTTCTTACTTCTAAAATGAGAGGGTTGGGCCAAGGCTCAATGAGGTGGTCTTTAAAGTTCCTTTCAGCATTGTCGTGTAAATTTAGGCTCTGTAATGTATGTGAGTAAATTACATAAGCATTTAAAATGGCACATAGATACGCAGAGAAGTCAATGAGCAATAATTTTGAGAATTTTCTATACTTACTATTGTGTGAGATGACATAGCAAGAGGGAGAGAAAAAGAAACAAATAATGTTCTTTTTATTTTCACTGAAATTCATAAAATGGTCCAATTTCACAGCCATGAAAGATAGAAAATTAATTAAAATTTTAAACAGTAAGTGCATATAAAATAAGTCTTCTAAATGTAAGATATAACTTTTAATTTTAAAAGTCATTTTTCCAATGATAGGCTCATGGCAAAAAATAAAAAAATAAATAAATAAATAAATAAATAAAAGTCATTTTACCAGTACAAATTTCTCTGAACGATAATATTACTACTGATTTCTGTATTTGTATATTTGCTACTCTTCTTCTTTAGAGAGTTGGCAACCACATTAGTTTGTAATCAACCACCAAAACTGGTTGTAATCATGTGTGATTGTGTGTATGTGTGTGGGTGTGCGTGTGTGCAAGTGTTCTTAATCACCCTGTTAACGATTCAGCAGTCAGGAACACACACCACACAAATCCAGATACTGTCGTTAACATGTGGTCTCAAGAAGTTGCTATCAGAATTCTAGAGTCTGCAGATACTGTCCTGAGATGTGAATAAATGACACTCATTTATAACCAGCCACTTCTTTTTGGCACTTCATAATTTTACCTGCAAAGTCTCGTGACATGGCTTATCTATTTTCAGTCCCTGCAAAGTTAGTTGTGCAGTTAAAGTGGGTATCAGCAAAAAAGAGAGAGAGTGATTGACGTGGCATGTAATTACTTTAGGTATCAGGACTTTGGTGTGTCATTTATGGGAAATTCTGTCTTGTTAGAAGGCACCAGGGTATGTGTTGGTTGGATTGCACCAAAGTAACTAATGTCCCAACAACAATCTTTGGTATGAATAGGATATTTTTTAAAACTTGCTATTTAAAAATTTGTTTTACTATAGATGAAGAGTCACAAAAAAAGAAGATATTTTAGTGCAACTTTTAAAATTTAGGAAGAATAAGCTGTGTGGTATAGTGTTGAGAATGTTGGGCTGAGAGTCAGAAGAACTTTTACCTATTTTGAGCTTCCCCACTTCAAGCTGGGTGACCTTGGGCAAACCTTGTTACCTCTCAGAGCTTTGTTTTCCTCAAACGTCATTGGCTCTGTCTACCAGACAGGATTGTTAGGGACTCCAAGAAGATATTGAGGATGAATGTACTTTCATCTGCAGTGAAGCAATGAACTAACATAAAGGATTCTTCCTCATTATTATAAAGAAAAATATGTTATTGCCAGTACCTATTCACCTATTGTGCAGCCAAAGAAGTGTTTAGAAAGGCCAAATTAACTTTTCCTCTGATATATGCAGCCTCCTCTAACTTTGTTACCAATCACAATTCCCCTGGATTCTATATACAATTTCTCCATGTTTTTCAAGTGTTTAAAAGAGAATGGGATAAATACATTGTAGCTCTTCTCCTGACTCAACAATATTTGGCTGAATTTAAAGATCGGCTTAACCAAACTCCTGGTAATAACTTTCATCTTGGAGAACAAAGAAATATGTGGTCAAGTTCCTTGGTCCTAATATGTGTGTGGGATTTTATGTGTTTGAAACTGATGTCAAATCCTCACATCACAGACATCCTCTGCTTGCCTCATCAGAATGACATTTATCCTCATTGAAATGACCTCTAGGTGTTGGTTCCTCATGGCTTCCATTCACTCTGCCAACAACAGTGACACAACAGCCAAACCAACAAGCATGAGAGCCACTATGTATTGACATCTTATCCACGGGACGTTTACATAGTTTATTTCATTTAATACTCATGACCATCCAAAACACTGGTGTTATTTTCTCATTTTACAGATGAGGAAACTGCAGTTTATAAATGGTAAGTAACTTACTCAAGGACACAGAGTGAATAGTGGAACTAAGAATTGGATTCAGAGCCACCCAATGGCAGTCTGTGTGGGCTCAACTATTATACTATGATATCTCCTGCTTCCATATCCCCTTTCTTTCTTCTTTCAGTTACGCATATCTGTTCATCTAAATTACTCAGGCTCGAAGCAACTTATTACATCCTGGGTTTATGATTTCCTCTGATGTTGTAGGCAGCATTTTCAAAACAGTCCAGATAATGCATGATGACTGTGTTTTTGCCTGTCAGCATTTCAGCATTTTTTAATTCTGAGAAGATACTATCAAATTTGATAAGCTTGATATGTTCTGTAAATCCCTGCTGCCTTCTTTAATGCAATCATAGCTTCCTGGAGGTTGGTTCCTAGGGACAAAGCTTCCTATTCCATAACTTTTCAGGGAAGGATTTACTATGTGGTAGAATTAAGTGCAGTGCATTTTACAGCTTTTCCACCTCAAATGGCATTTCTTAGTCAGCACAGTAGGTTTCCCATATGTATTGCCATAAATAGTAATTCTTCCTCAGAGTTCAGGAAGATTTGCGGAAACAAGTATTTCCAAATTAAATCTTGTTCACAGTTTCTGTTCAGCATAAAGCAGCCTAACTTGATGAGTGCCTTTGACATGTTGGGGAATAATTAAATTTAATTTTCATGTGCAGAATAGAAATGAAAAATATTTCTGCAGCCCTGCAGCGCTGACACAATTGCTTTCGTGTTCTCAAAAGGGAAGGGAAATGGAATTCCAAAAGAATAGTGTATTCTACAAAGTTCTAGGAGAAAACATTCTAGAATAATATAATCTCTGCTGATATGGCAGCTTTTATTTTAGCCCTTAGGGAAGAAAGTGGGAATTTACTTGATGGATTTTTTTTTTCTTTTGAAAAGATAGAAAGGTAATTTGACCTATTTATCATCAAAATTTCTTCAAAAATTCATTGGCTCTGAAAGGGCAGACCTGAGAAGAAAGCCATAGCATCATAATTTCCAAATTGTCAGCAAGCTACTGGAATGAAGCAGGTGCGTAATTATTGAACTCTTTAATATTACAAATAAAAATGAGACAATAGCCTCAAAGTATTGAGAATAACTTATGAATCAAAGTCTGTGCTAAATTGTTCTCAAACTTCCCAGTATTCTTATGAGACAATCGTTTATCTATTTACAGTTGAAAAGCCTGGGCTCAGAGCAATGGAGTAATTTTCCTGATGTCACCCAGGTAGTAAATGATCACTCTGGGCCTTGACCCTAGGGTTGTGATGTCTCCAAAGCCTGTGTCCTTTCTAATACAATATATTATAATCAAGAGTACAATTTCATAAAGCAGACTTGGGCTTTTAAACTTGGTCACCGCCACTTTCTGGCTACGTAAATTCAACATTTCTGAAGCTCAGACTCCTCATGTATCATAATAATAATTATAAACATCTGGTAGGGCTATTGTGGGGATTCTATGAGTTAATTCATGGAGAGTGAAGTCACTGCCCAGTCCTCGATGAGTTTTAGCTGCTACACCATGACAGGTATAGCAACCCTTTATGGGAGTTGAGGCATAGATAGTTGGGGAATCAGTAAGGTTATTTCTTTAATACACAATTGAAGTGGTTTATAAACAATAAAAAGATTCATTGTTAACTTAAAAGAAAGGAGGTTGAAAGGACTATGGTCCACAAACTAAACCTGTTGCCATATCCTATTCAATTTGCACACAATGGTAATGATTGCAGACATTTTTGATCTATTGGTTAACTTATTCAACAGATTCAGCTCATAGTTATGTGTCAAATTCACCCTGGGGTAAGAGTTGGCCCTGTCTGAAAATCCCAATCTGTGGCAGAACCATGAACAAAGGGCTGTACCTTATAAAACTTGAGCCAATTTGCTTTTATTAAACTTATAATTTGTACACTGTTTATTTTAAATGGTGTTTTTAAAGTGAGGTTGTTTCTGAAAAGAGTACAGAGTAACTATCCTTATTGTCTAGTTAATTTGATTCTCTTTATTCAGGGTTCTGTTTACTCACTTTATTTTACTGGTGGTTTGAATGGAGACACTACAGGTAGAATGAGATAAATGATTAGAGAATAGCTCTGAGGGAAATAGTGCCAAGGCCTCAAAGTCTCCACCAGGGCTCAGATCTGTTTCTGTGAAACAGCTTTGCTCTTATACACAGCTGTATAAATTACACTGATTTGAAAGAAACAAAACACCTTTTGTGCTTGTCTTACTCTGAGTTCTTTTTTATCCATGCCAGAATTCTTTCTCTGTAAGAATAATAGTGAAGATTTGCTTTGCAAAACTCTGTGCTCAGAGCTGGAAGTGGGGGTTAGGGAAGAAACAAGAACTTGATTCTGATTTTTTTTTTTTGTCATGTAGTAGGCTGAGATTCCCTCCGGTGTGATGAAAAATAAAATGAGGCCAGATGGTAGGAGTTGTTTATAGGTTCTGAAGTAAAAGTATTAAGTCATTAAAATTTGGAGGCTTCTCTCATTTATTCCAGATTCTTCTTCTCATTAAATCTATGTTTTCTGTGGTTGAAGGTGCAGGGAGAGGATGTGTGGGTAGCAGATGCGAAATCTTCCTTGCATCGGGCTCTGGCAAGCATTTCTTTGCTTCTCTCAGATCTCCAGCCTGGAGCGGATGTAAAGGAATGTGTTTTCCTCATAGGAGTCTGGAAAGCTGCATGGCAGTCTGTGTGCTGGTGGCTTTCTTGTTGGTGACAGAGAAAGGTTTTCAACCCCAAGTTGTAAGGCATTTAAAATATGAATATATATGGCTGGGCATGGTGGCTCACACCTGTAATCCTAGCACTCTGGGAGGCCAAGGCGAGCGGATCGTTTGAGCTTAGGAGTTCGAGACCAGCCTGAGAAAGAGCACAACCCTGTCTCTACTAAAAACATAGTAAGAAATGAGCTGGACAACTAATATATATACATAGTAGCCAGGCATGGTGGTGCATGCCTGTAGTCCCAGCTACTCGGGAGGCTGAGGCAGGAGTATCACTTGAGCCCAGGAGTTTGAGGTTGCTGTGAGCTAGGCTGACGCCACAGCACTCTACCTGGGGCAACAGAGTAAGACTCTGTCTCAAAAAAAAAAAAAAAAAAAAAAAGAATATGCTTTGAGGCCCATTTCTTGGCAGAGGCTTTTCTGAGGGCTCCTTCAGAAGAATTTATCTTCATCGATGGATTTAAGAGAGATGTTTTCCAAGGTAATGAATCCAGATTGGATATGTTCAAAGTTGGTTTTAAAACTGCTGGCTGGTGTTATCTGTAAAAAGGGAATGAAGACATTGTCCTAATGTCAGGTTTTTAGAGGATAAACTCAGTAAAGTCCATTCATACTGGTGGGAGGAATGTACACCAGGTTGGAACTAATCCTATTATTTTAGTAACTTGTAATATATATAATATACTTATATATTATATATATATATATATATATATACATATGTATATATATTCCCAGAATTAAGCAAACAGCTTGCCTTAAATAGGTCTAAGACATAGGTTGCATTTTGTCAACAAACAGGTTTTCCTTGTTTAGCTCACACTAGTCCTTGTGGGATAGTTAAGTATACAGGGTTAGAAATTGGACTGAGGTGGGTTTGAATTTGGGTTTAAATCCTAACTCTGCTACTCAGTAACCAAGCGAACTTGGACAGTTACTCACCACTTTTAAGCTACAGTTTCCTCCTCTGTAAAATGAGGACATGAATAGTTCTTACCTCATAGTTAAGTGCAGAAGCTAAATTGAGTAATGCATGTAATGCCCTTTTGCAGTTACTGGCCTATGGTTCTTGGCTCTTGATGAGAAGAACTATCTGTCTTAAATAAGGAGATCTATGTAACCATCACTACTCCTGATAAAGAATTGTTTACAGGAAAGCTTACCAAAATAGATGAAGAGCCTTAAGAAATCACACAGAGAATTTAGTCTCCTTGTAGGGCACGCAATGACCAGCCGCCTTTATACATAGTGAGAAACAGAAGTGTGTGTGTCAAGCTGTGGGGTTCTCTCCCACGGTGTGGTTTGGCTGCCACTTCAAGGACCACAGTGCTCTATTGCTAAAGCAGAGCTTAGTGGAGGGCGGCAGATATTAGGATCAGGAAGAACTGTGGGAGATTTTCATTGCTTTGGCGTAATCCCTTCATAGGTCAATCTTGTTCTTGATTCAGTGCCTCTGGGACAATCAGGGAACTAGTGAGGGAGGAAAACAAACAACAAACAAAATAAACCCAGAAAAAGGAAGTCCACCAAATCCTTGGAAGCTTCATTCATATTTCGGTGAGGAAAAGCTATGGACGACTTTCCGGTGCAGAGTTTTACTGGAGTCTTCATTTGCCTTTCTTCGTTCCAAAATGTATCTTGTGAGCTTTCAGAACCTCTGAACCTTCTGTTTTCTTTTTTAAAATTTTATTTCTGAAAACATAAAGTGCTTGCATTCCATCTATTCTAAAAATAAAATATAATATATGTACAAAATATGAATACTTTTTGAAAAATCATGTATGTAAAGACAGCCTCAGTTTATCTCCTCTCAAAACAAACAGGTATATATGCACATATATGGTTTGTTAGTAATTTGTTATAGGAATGAGATCATACTGTAAATATTTTTATGTTATTTTTCCTACAATATATCTATGAGACTTCATGAGATAGATCTAAGTTATTATTTTAATAAAAAATTCTGTTATTGTATTCCATAGTACAACAAAACTACAATGAGATATCACCTCACTCCAGTTAAATAATATTTCTCTAGTGATGGTTAGTTTAATTTTTAATAGTTTACTCTTATAATAATATTGCAGTAAACATCCTTTTATATATATCATATAAATGCCTAAAAATAATTGTTGGGATATAGGATACACAAATTTAAAATATTGATCAAACCTATTATTACCTTTCAAAAATTCTGTGCCAATTTATATTTCTTGCACACTGAGGAGGAACTTGCCAATTCTGGATATTATTTATTAAATTTTCTGCTAATCTAATATGTAAAAATTATGTTATTAATATTTTTACATGAATTTCCCTTGTTATATTAAATCTCACTATGTTTATGAACCATTTATATTTCTTCTATGAATTATTTATTCAAAATCTTGCATCTTTCTATTTGGTTTATCTTTCTTTTACTATTAGTTGGTAGATGTTTGCTGTGGTTTGAATGTGTTTCCCAAAGTTCATGTTTTGGAAACTTGATCTCCAGTGTGGCAACGTGGGAGATGGGACCTTTAAGAGGTAATTAGGCCATGAGGGCTCTGCTTCATGAATGAATTAATGCTGTTATTGTGGGAGTGGGCTCCTTATAAAAGGAGGCTTTCAGCCTCTCTCTCTCTCTCTCTCTCTCTATCTCTCTCTCTCCTTCTTGTGACTCCCCCCACCCCACATTTGATGCCTTCTGCCATGTTACCATGTGACAAGAAGGCTCTCACTTGATGTCAGCCTGTCAGTCTTGGGCAGTCCAGCTTCTAGAAACTGTGAGAACTGAGTTCCTCTTCTTTATAAATGACTCAGTCTCAGGTATTTTGTTATAGCAGCACAAAACAGAGTAAGACAGTGTTCTTTATATGATTTGTGTATTAATCTTCTGTCATCTTTTTACTTTATAATGCCTTTGTAGTATGGGTTTAAAATTTGTAGATAGTCAAATCTTTTGATCTTTATAGCTTATGGATTTGTTATCTTGTATAAGAAGTATGTTAAAAATGTGCTCTATTTTCTGCTAATATTTTATAGCTTATGTTTAATACTTAATCAATTTGAATTATTTTTGGATGTGTTCTATTTTGAGGTATGTTCTCTGAATTATCTGTTCAGATCATTTGTCCATTTTCCTATTTGGTTTATTTCTTTTCTCTTATTGTTTGAAAGGAATTCTCTCTCTTTTTCTTTAGAGATGGGAGTCTCACTCTGTTGCCCAGGCTGGAGTGCAGTGGCACAATCGTAGCTCACAGCAACCTCAAACTCCTGAGCTCAAGTAATCCTACTGTCTCAGCTTCCCGAGT